TGAAGTTTTTTTTTTTTTTTTTTTTAAGATCAAGCTGCCCTCAAGTAGTTTCTGTGGTTCACATTAGTGTTTAAGGAATCTGACATAGTGAGAGACTTTTCCTAGAGACCCAAACGGAGAATAAACCGACAGAATAATCCTCCTCTAAAGCATTTAAAGCACATTTAGTCTGACGTCACCTTCACTACATTTCTGGTTGTCTGTGGGTCCATTCATCCACCAGATCAGAGGTTCTCAAACTGTTTGAGCCACGACCCCCAAGATAACAGAAGTTTGTGTTTTAGTTTTTTTTTTTGCCTTTAATTGACAGGAGAGTCGAGAGAGAGAGAGACAGGAAAGCGGGGATGGACCTGCAGCAAAGGGCCATGAGCGGGACTCGAACCCACGACGGGGACCAGAGCCGCTGTATGTGGGACACCAGCTCAACCAGTCGAGCCATGTGGCGCCCTCCCAGTTTGAATTTCTAATATGGCATTCATGCATTAATGCGTCAAAAATTCATGTGTTGATTCCACAGATTAATCTCTTTATTTTCTTTTGAATTAATGAACTGAGTTTATTTAGAACAAAAATATAAAAACAAAAGAAAATTATTTTAAAAAGAGCAAAAAAGAATAATAATATCGCACAATCAAATTATAATATTAACAAATAAGGAGTGGGAAGACGCATACATGTTTAATTTTGACAGCCCACAGTTATCTGATAAATGTAGGCTTTATTCTATTTTTTATTTTTTACAATGAAATTACCTTGGGACCCCCATACAGGTCCCGACCCCCAGTTTGAGAACCACTGATATAGAAGACAGCCAGAGTGAGGTAAAGGTGTAAGACAGACGAATGTTTTAAACTGTGAATCATGCAAAGTTTCTCTGGTGGGGTCTCAGCATAAAACACAAGGTTGGAAAGCAGCACATCAGGATCTTGAGGTGAAGAATCCGAGGACTTTGTTTCCCACTAAGACCACTGATGAGGGGCTTCACAGCAGCGTGAGCCAAACCTTGTAGAAATAAATAGTTGTGCACATTCAGAGCGACGAGGTTCAGCCGGTGTGAAACATTCTCGGTGAATTTCGATGCATTCGGTTTTCAGTAAACTCACACACAGTGAAGTATCGCACATGTTGAACGTTAGCCCTCGGTTAGAGTCACGAGACGTGACGGTGAAGTCGCCGTGTATTTACAATCTGTAGTCACACCAACAAACAACCAACAGAACAGAAACGTAAAACCCAGAACGACACCAAACACCTTCTCTTCTCACCCTGTTGGTCTGACTGATGGTTTTAAATATAAACACAAGGAGGTGATGCGGTCTTTAAATCTAGAACAGTTCATACTGTACTGGCTGTAAACGTTCCTCGTTACATCCCCTCTGTGGATATAAACACAGGACTGAACAAGGAAGCTGATGCTTACAGCAGGAAACACTTTGTTTTATGGATTTACTGTAATTCCTTCATTATTTCACAGGAAGCTTCCTGGAAAGAAACAGCTACAGTCGTCCTCAAATGTATTCACAGCCTCCCATTAAAGGAGGAAAACAAACAACTGTCACTGAAGTAAGTTGACAAAACTAACGATAAATAAAAATGTGATGAACATCATGACGCTGCTTTTGAATTGTGGTTCAACAGAAAACAAAAACAACAATCAAACCAGCCTGATGGGACCCGTGAACTAACATGTAGCTGAACAACCCTCTGAGCCAATCACTGCCATCAGATGTTTCCTGTAACTCTCAGTCAGACTTCTGCACCTGTTGACAGGTATTCTGGACCACTGCTCATCAGCAAAGGCCTCTCATTGGTCCAGGACAGTTTAAAAAAAAAAAATAATAAAATTCTTTTCAACCACAATTCAAAAGCAACGTCTTGTTTCACTAAATTCTAATTTAACACATTGTTATTTATTCTTATTTTTTTCAGTTTCTAGTTATTTGAGTAACTATTGTGGATTTTGCCTTTTCTTTAATGAAATACATTTGAGGACGACTGTATTAAATGTTCAGCTGATCACAGAGTGAAAGCGACTATAAGATCATTTTAACTGTACCGACAGAACACCGTCTTCGGTACCAAATCATGCGGTTCTTTCCAGGAAGTCGCTCGGAAATGAGTAGAAATGACACGCTTGGATGTTCGAGCACCTCAATCTCTAGATAAACATTATGATCTGGAAGTGATCATGTTAAATAAAATCTTAAATCAAACACAAGAAGTCTTCACTAAGTAAATGCAATGTGGCAGAAATTGATTAGCTGCTCATCTTGTAAACTAATTAGTTAGAAGACAACACTTACTAATTAATACTAGAACATTTATATTTGTCTTTGTCCTGGAAATTCATTGTTTTTTTTTTTTTTTAAATCTTAGTGGTCTTTATTAAACCACGATAAGACCCTGCAGGAAACGCTGACGGCTCAGACCGGATTTCTCGTGAAGCAAATTCTGCTCGTCTTTATTTACATCAACACAAATCATCGACATTAAAGTGTTGAAGTGTTGACTGAACCACAAAGGGAAGCTGGAAGTTGTCTGTTTGCATAATTCGCCCGAAGAAGTGGAATCGAGCTCAGATGCTGTTTTTATTGGTTCTGTTTTCATTCACTGCTGAATGAAGCGTTCAGCTCTGCGGCTAACGGGAAAGCTCTGGTTGTGTTTGCACTGAAATCAAAAGAAACAAGAAGCTGCTCGACGTGATCGAAGCTGGAAAAACACCAACTACACCTTGAAATAGTTTAACAGTCCACTCATTTAAATTAAGACTGAGATTAATTTAAAGCCAGCACAGCTTAAATATATCACTTTTTTACTCTAAAAATACCTTAAAAACTAATTTTTTTATTTGATAAAATGTGTCTTTCTATATTTCTGCTAAATCATCTGGCAGTAGTTTTCTTCTAATTTAGTTCAAAATACTCAAATATCAAAAATACTCCAGTTTGGTCCGTTCTGCTGCCTTTTGATCAAACAGCTGCCTCAGTGAGAGAGAACCGAAAACAAGACAATAATCAGCTTAATTAAAGCACAGCAGTGTGTTCGGAGACGTTCATGCGGAGAAATTAAAATACATTCTGAGAGTGATGTGGAGGAGAAAGCTTCGAAAGAGTTCATCTGTTTGTTTGTTCGTTCTCAAGCTGCACATAGTTTCCACACAAACACAGAACCAGAGAAACACACTCAAGTCCAACATGTTAGAACCCATCCTGGACTAAAGACCTAAACTTTTCCTGCAGACTGAGTCGCTGCCATCAGGGGGGAAAACAGACAAAGCTTCACCTTTTTCTGGTTATTTTGAAAAAAAAATCTTGACAGCATCAGCATGGCATCACCAACATATCGACCCAACGGAGCACCAGCCTGCGAAGTCAGTATGACAAAGAAACCTAAACAGGCTTCAGCCCACAAATAAATGACCGTATAAACTTTAAATTCAGTGTTTTTGTCCTCGACGGCAGCGACTCACTCTCACAGGATGCCGAAGAAACAAGAAGACTCCTGTTGTCTCGTTACGTCGTCGTAGAGAACTTTGTGTGATCTGGTATAAAGTCAGGAGGTGGGCAGAGGGACGCGGGGCAGTTAGTGCCATCTTTAGCTATCGCTTAGAAGATGTTAGCTGAATGCATGTTGGAGCATCCCCTAAACCTGCAAAAACTACTTTGGCCACTTGAGGGCAGCAGAATCAGTCACTGTGCTCATCAGCTGCTCTCAGTCTGCTTTTTGCTGCCCTACATGTTGGCAACATCCATCATCTCTACACCTTCATGGGGTCATGGGGGGCTGGAGTCTATCCCAGCTGACTCAGGGTGAAGGCAGGTTCACCTGGACAGGTAACCAGTCTATCACAGGGCTACACTTAGAGACAGACAACCAAGCACACTCACATTCACACCTACGGACAATTTACAATCACCAATTAACCTCAGCATGTTTCTGGACTGTGGGAGGAAGAACCCGGAGAGAACCTACGCTGCACGGGGAGAACATGGAGAAAGATCCCGGGTGTCCTCACCGGGACGTGAACCGGCGACCTTCTAGCTGCGAGGCGACGGCGCTAAGCACCCCGTGTTGATGACAGGGGTTTTTAAAATTCTATTATTAATTCTAAAAAAACTAACAATCAAGTGACCAACACAGTAAATTTGTAATCAGACAAATAAACAATGAAACTGGCTGTAAAGCTTCTTAAAGCTGCCGACTCGTTTGTTCTTTCTGTCGTTCCATTCGTTGCTGTGACATCAGTGACGGACAAGTCACTCCATATAAACCGTGATGTAAGAACACGAGGACAGAAGTCGACCAGAGAGCACAGAGGTCACAAAAAGTCGGCCTCGTGGTCCAAATGGCCGCCATCTTTCTTACTGTGCGGCTGAAGATTGGAACTTTGGTTCGGTCAGCAGCTATTATGAAGAGTTTCTATTGTGAATGGAGCTCGTATTGACATAAACGATGTGTCAGACAATATTCCAATTCTGAAAATATACATACGCTTTGCCAGCATACACAGAGAAGTGATGGGTTGATTTCTGCACTACAGCACGCCCTGGGTGGTTCATATCTTGGTCTAATTTATAGGATCCTTCTCAAAAATGTTCTCTGCCCATGTAAGAAACATCCTGGTTGAGACATGCAAGACTTTTATGCCTTTAAAACGCTGACAGAGGATCAGACAGATCTGGTTTGGATGGAGCTAATAAACCAACTCGGGCTTGGCGGTCCCTGGGTGCCGTTGTCACCAAACTAAGGGATGAAAAGGTGGTTTTTTTTCAGGGGATGATAATCTATTTTTGATGACCATGATGTTTTAACGTTTCCCAGAGGTTCCTCTCTCTGCCCACTTCCTGACTTTATTCTGTTATTCTGCCGTCCAATAGGGAGATCTGGACCGTAACGAGACAACGTGGTTACAGTCCGTCTTGTTAAAACGACCCACACCTCCTGACATCTGCTCTCGAATAAGGAAACGTGGTTTTCGGAGGTTCAGGTGGATCCTGTCTCTACCTCAGCCGGGCGGAGAAGCAGCGCATGTACTCCGTCATCCAGCGGTCGTCCACCACCGTCAGCTGCGACCGGTTCATCTTCTCCAGGTCGGCCGATCGGGCCCGCCGGCGGTCCAGGTTGGAGCTCCGCTTGTCGGACTCCCTCCGGGTCTGGACGCAGGCGTCGGACGTGTGGCTCTGCGAGGAGAAACCAGAGAGAGAGGAGTCGTTTCCGAAAAGCACACCGGTGTTGTATTATTAATGTTTGCGGAGTGTTTGGTGACACGGCTTCACTTCTCTGGTGTCCTGTGGATGTGGCTGAGCTGCTCTGGAGAACTCTTTGACTTTTACACATCCTAGACCTTCAAAAGGACACTGGTCGATTTAAAGGTAACGACATGAAGGAAAACGGCCGGTAATGTTCTGTACTGGTCAACAAATCCTTTGACATATAATGTCAGATGCACCAGACAAACATCCATATATGATACGAAAATGATGGTAGAAAAGTTGTACTGAGAGTTTCGGCAGAATAAACAAAGTATGGATAGTTTATGTTCCCACTCTGTGTGTTTTCCTTCAGTGTCTTTGAGCAGATGTCCACCCTGAGATAGACACACATTACTGACCTCTACATGTCTCTCGGTCCAGTCCAGCCGGCTCGATGGTCTCCGGTTCTCCTTCTCCTTGGTGCTGATCGGCGGTTGGCTCTTCGCTCTCGATGGTTTTCGGACGACAGCCGGTTTTCCGTCCTGGGAACTGTCTTGGCGTCCCGGCTCGGAGCGAGGGGTGCGACGCCGGTGACGCCGTCTTGGCACCGGGTTTGCCGGCTCTCCATCAGAAGACGCGGTGTCAGCCGGCCCGTTGTCCGTGTCGTCTGAGGGTCCGCTGGTGTTCGGAGCCGCCGTCACCGAACCGCCGCTGTCCTCATTCAC